TGCTGATGTTAACGCTAAAGGTAGTGATGATAATAATGTGATCATCAATAAAAACAGCAGTAATGTAGATTTTAGTGAAAACAAATGTTGACAAACTTCTAACGGCCGCGATGGACCTGATAACACACTAGCGATAGCAGCAATGATAATATATGAATTCACAAACCGTGCCCAGCACTATCAACTTCCAAAATATGACACAAGAAATCCAACTAAATCTATACGTTCGAACTACACGTACATAGCACAAATCTGCATACATTCCAGCGCCAATCTACTCATGCATGCACACACACACACACACACACACACACACACACACACATACACACACACACACACACACACACACACACACACACACACACACACACCACACACACACACAGTCTGACATGCGCAGAAGCTACTGCCACTGATGAAAGCAAATGCACCGAGCATTTAAAAGCTGTTGTTGCAGTTGGCTCTCTCGAGTCCAGCAGATTGTTTTGAGAGAACACTGACCTTGGTAACCGAGTCTGCCTCACCCCTCGCACCTTTCGTGTTAGCCATTGTGTCTTGGAGGCAGACATGGCTAATAAATACGGTAGGTTTAATGGCAGACATAAAAAGTTACCAGTGACAGTTACCAAAACAATACAGAAAAAAAACAAATAGACAAATGTAAACACTTACTCTCTTGCGGGCGCCATCTGCACTTCGACTATAACGAGACGGTCACTTACCTGTAACATAGATAAAAGATTACATGAATACACTGATAAATATAAGTGAAAATACGTATTTACTTGGTGTGTTGCTGCTCAAAGATTAATACATACTAGTTTACTAAAAAGACGTAGAAAGAGGTGAGGAGTTGGCAGAGGAGGTGAATCTTAAAATGGAGGAGGAGGAGGAGGGGAGGAGGGAGGAGGAGGAGGAGGAGGAGGAGGAGGAGGAGGAGGAGGGACCTCAAAGGGAGGAGGAAGAAATGAGAGGAAGAAGAGGAGAAAGAAGAAGGGGAAAGGGGAGATGGACGAGCAGATACTGAGGATGGACCTCCAAACGAGGAGGAGGAGGAGGAGGAGAAAGAAGAAAAAGAAGAAGAAGGGGAGAGCGGCGATGGAGGAGCACGCAATGAAGATGAGGAGGAAGAAGAAAAAAAAAGAAGAAAAGCAAAAGTTAAATGGATAGTAGCCACAACAAATGAGGATGAGGAACCAAAGTAAGAAGAAAAAAAGAAATAAAAAGAAGAAGAAAACGAAGAAGAGACATAGAAACAGACAACATACTCAACGGTATTACCTGGCCATTATCAAGAGATTCTACATTTCAGTCATCCATTAAAGTCTATAGTTCAGGTGATCATCAATTTGTCACGAATTTGCTGCCCCGACCGTGACTAATGAGGTGACCACGCCCCTCTTGTGTGGCCACTCCCCTCGTGTGTGTGTGTGTGTGTGTGTGTGTGTGTGTGTGTGTGTGTGTGTGTGTGTGTGTGTGTGTGTGTGTGTGTGTGTGTGTGTGTGTGTGTGTGTGTGTGTGTGTGTGTGTGTATGTGTGTGTGTGTGTGTATGTGTGTGTGTGTGTGAGAAGGGTGTAGGAGGAGAGAAGAGAGAGAGAGAGAGAGAGAGAGAGAGAGAGGGAGAGGGAGAGGGAGAGGGAGAGGGAGAAGGGAGAGGAGAGGGAGAGGGAGAGGGAGAGGGAGAGGGAGAGGGAGAGGGAGAGGAGAGGAGAGGAGAAGGGAGAGG